ATAAATTATATGTTTGAGAGTAAAATGCCCATAAAAAGTTGGTACTTTGAATAGATAATGCTCATTTGCCCATAAACTACACTCCCTGAAGGCTATTTTGTTAATTACTTTGTAGTACTTTGTTATTCCTTTGCTAATACTACTTGGCATGTAGTACAAAGGATAAATCTGGCATAAATTTCTTATTCCATTGATAAAAAGACCTGCCTGCCTTATAACTATTATAATGAAAGATATATCTTTAGAGTTTATAACAAATTATTACTTAAGTTTGAGAAAATTATAAAATATTTATGCATAGTTTATCAAGATACCATTCGCAATTTCCTAATAAAAAAATAGGGGCTAAATTGTAAAAGTTAGGGTGCCATAATAGAAATAATAAAATTGGTGTATTACATATGGGGGTTAAATTGCAAAAGTTAGAGTGCCATAGTAGAATTAATGAAATTGGTGAATTACATATGGGGCTAAATTACAAAAGTTAGGGAGTAATAATAGAATTAAAGAAATCGGTGTACTACATATGGGGCTAAATTGTAAAAGTTAAGGTATCATAATGGAATTAATGGAATTTTTTACAACATTTAGGGCTAAATCGCAAAAGTTAGGGTGGCACAGTAGAATTAATGAAAGTGACTTAGAAATAAGTACTTTAAACAGTGACGATTAATTCTTGTCACTAAATCCGAATCGGTAGAGTGACAGTGATGATATTAGAAGTTGTCACTATATAGATCATTTTAGTGACAACGTTTTTCAAGGTCGTCACTGAAGACTTAGTTGCTTTGAGCAATTATGACAACTTTCCTTGTCGTCACTAAACAACCACATTTTGTGACAACTTTTGTCGTCACTAGAAAATGTTGTCACTAATGACCATATTTCTTGCAGTGTAGTTTGTGACGAAAATAACGGGTCGTCACTAAACATTTAGTTACTTTGATGCAATTGTGACAACTTTATGTATCGCGACTAAAGAAGCTCCTTTTGTGACGACTTATTGTCATCACTACAAAATGTTGTCACTAATAACTTTTTTTTTTAGTGGTCAGTGACGACAACAAAAAGTCGTCCGTAAATAGGCCAAGCAATAGTGATGATGTTCTTAATGTCGTCACTATTGTGTATTCTAAACACTCCCGCACTCTTGCTAAATCTTGGCGGGAATTTACTAGTGACGACTTTTCTAAGTCGTCACAAATGAGTTGGCTCCCATTAGAGGTTTGTGACGAGTTAGAAAGTTGTCAATAAAGGATCTCCTTTTGTGACAACTTTTTTTCGTCACAGAGAAAAGTTGTCACTGATGACCAATTTTCTTGTAGTGGTTAAGGGGGTAAAGTGATGATAACTCTTCTTTTTAGTACTTAATTAAGGGTAACGCTGGTATTTTAACTAACAATATTACATAGTTTTTTCTTTCTCAAATATCTACTTTACACAAAATTATAAGGAGGTTATATAGATATTTTGAAACTTTAAAGGTAATGTGGTAATGTGCGAAACCACAAGGGAATTTATTAGTAATTTACCTTTTTTAGTTTGATTTGTACGAGAGCCAAAAAATATTTAACTCGATCCTTTCAAATTAAATCCACCATGAAAGAATAGGGTCGGACAAATTGCCTGGACTTAAAATTATGATTTGTTTCCACAAAACAAGGTTTTGTTCGAGCTTTAATTAAAACTTGTGAGTTACGACGACCATATATCACGTATTATATTCGTGTAGCACACTAATTTTGATTATTTAAAATTAAGTACAGGCAGCCATAATATAAAAGTGCGAAAACGTGCCACGCCATGTACCATTTTTTTATCCCAAGAAACAATTGGTATGAATTAATTTCTTTGAATCCCAATAACCATAATATAAATCCACATAATTTTCAACATTATTAAACTTTTAATTCCATTTTGCTGCATACACAAACTCATTCAAATCCAGAACGTTATATACTTTTGAAAATCCATTTTTCTTGATGCATAAATTACATTCAAAGCAACACATATATATTCAATCTGAAGTGGGAAGTAACATATAATTTCTACTACCTCTTCCTAGGCACATTAGTTACTTGCTAGCAATACTAACTTCTGCTGACGATAATATGTATTTCTTGCAGTATTTGTGCCTTCTTAGAGCATTACTATGGGAGTTGAGGCCAATCCAACCAATAGAAAAGTCAGAAAAAATGCTTGAATGTGAACATGATCATGGAGATGCAACAAGAGATGATACAATAATGATGCCTGTAACCAATACAACGTTAGCAACCGTGATCCATAAGCTCTGCATGTACTCATTATCTTGTCAACTTGTTATATGCCTTGTAGAAAAATTGGACATTTTGATGCTTTTCTGATAATAAGAATGGAATTTCTTTTCTATTAGATTTATTTAAAGTGTGGGATTGGAATCTTAACTAATTTAATTACAAATTTCTACAATATTAAATTTTATTTACGATTTTAAAGAACAACAAATCATTGACTCGTCGGGCCAGGCCTTCCTCCTAAAAGCAATGTGAAAGAATAAAGCATTAAAAGCTTTCGACGGCCATTTATCATAATAAGCTTCGTAAAAATAACTGATCACTTAGCCCACTCATGACTTTCACATAAAGGAAATGAAGGAATTAAACGTGCCTCGGCCACCTATCATACTATATTGTGAAATACCATCTATTGATCGAAAGTGTTGGCAACTTTAAGAAAAGTACTAAAGCTGACCATAGCATTTCTTATTTTATTATTGTTATTCTTTTTTTTTTTTTTGGGTTCAATAGAGACTAAACCTTACAACAAGAAGGAAAACAAGAAGGAAAAGAAAAAGATTTGAAAGTCGAATACAAATTTTGTGGTCACTTTATGTTTACCACGTGATAAATCTTCTGCATCTTCATTCAAGGCCTATAAATTTGGCTCGGAATAGCCAAATTATCCCACATCTACTACAAACAACCTTAAGGGACTACCTTTTCAAGTCATCGGTCAGATCTTGGAATTGAAGATCAAATGGCTCAGCTAGCCTCTGTTGTGGTTCTTCTGCCTCTTGCAACTTGTCAGTATCATTCATCTTCCAAAACCCTCCTCTTGTTCCTCATGCTTAAGACTGCTATTGTGAATTTTGCTCTGTCATGCATGTTCATGATTGTCATATAAATTAAATTTATTCATGCCATACATGCGTACTATCTCTGTCCAACGCCAACTGAAAAGGGCAAACCTTTACCTGCGGAGTATGCAAAATCCATGGGACAGACGTTCAAAATGAGCAGTGTTTTCTATAAAAACAATACGGTCCCTCTCTAATTTTTGGAACAGTTGTGTAATAGATAGATTTACACACTTTGTAATATTTTCAGGTCTATCATTAGCAAACTTTTAGATCCGTCTCGCTACATCCACAAAAAACTTTTAGATCCGTCTCTTACTCCAATTCCTCGTATATCCTGACCTTCTTCTTGTCATTTACTACGGGAGCTCTCCCAATATTCTTGCAAGAGAGGATAATTTTGATGAGAGAGACCTCAAGAGGATCCTACAGAATCGATGAATTCCTCTATTTCTGTCTGGTGACTTGGATGGTTCTCTCAATGGCAAATTCTTTTGCAGCTGCTTTCAAATCAGGAATGTCCTTGATTGCAGGCATCGTGGGTGCATTCTTCGTTTCTCGGGGTACTTCATATCTAACAATGAAATACCCAAGTATTGGCTCTTCATGCACTATTTGAGCTTGATGAAGTATCCTCTTGAACGTCGTCTCCTAAATGAGTTTGGAGGATACCAAGGCCGAGGGAAATGTGTAGAAAGCGTTGAAGCAGGATGTTTGATGTATGGTGATGCATTCTTGAGATATTTAGGCATAGAAGAGTCACAAAAATAGAGCAACTTAGTTGTGATGTTGGCTTTCATCGTGGGCTACAGACTTCTCTGTTATCTGACTCTTTGGTATAGATCTTGCAGGACCAGAAGTTAGAAGCAACTAATGATACCCATTGCTGATAAATTTTCTAGGGATTGTTTGGACAAGTAGAAGCAACTACTGATACCAATTGCTGATAAATTTCCAGGGCGACCCTTTGTATATGAAAAACATGAGGAGCAGAGAAAATACGCAAGAAACCTAAGAGAAGGATATTTCTCCAGAGCATATCCTCATATCTTGAGTTCATATCTTGATAAGTGATTGTTGACAAATAAAATGAACAATTTCCACAGTCAGTTAAATGTCAACTTATAGCGCATGAGTGCATGACTAGTTGGTTATGAATCTTCTTGCAGAGCATATTAGGTCTACCTTGGAATTTGGAAGAAGAGTCAGATTTCCTCCAATACGTCTACTTTTCAATAGAAAATGCTGCTGCAGTGGGAAAAGAAGTTGAAAGCTTTGAGGGGAACCGAGACCACATGCACTTTTCTTGGTCAGCTCTCTTGGCTTTCCCGATGGTTTGTTGCCCGATTGCTTTCAACACTAGCTTCTTGTATGTGATAACATTTGCATGTGCTGAAGAGAAATTGGAAAATCTCTACTTGTACTACCAGCCAATATGTTAGAATTTGCATGTTAGAAACAACATTTAGTGCTGCCAAAAAATAGTTTACTGAGATTTGTATTGAGAATTGAAAAATAATTTTAGATTTCTCATTAAATAACTCTCTATCATTAATCAAAACTGTAAGTAATAAGTCTATACAAATTTTTCGCGATAAACCTCAACACATATCTGAATCTCTCCTCGCAATTCTCAACATAATATTTAAAACTCAAATAGACTTGAACTAGTCAAAAGCAAAAAATGTGGTACAGCTCTAAGAAGTAAGAACTAGACTTATTCAATTACTAATTTATTTTATTTTAGTGCTAAAATAACCGTAGAAAAGTCACATATCTCCATACAACAAATTCGGTCATTATATAAACTTCTCTTGGAGTAATATTATATTTGCAATATTCAGTCCGTAGTTGCAATATTCTCCACAATTTGGACGTATGGTTAGGCATTTGCATATTTTGCGTTATCTTGTCTGATAACTGGAGCCCAGCTCTGAACGCACCCTTTCTCGGGGAATCTTTTACTCATCCCTTCTTTTAAGTTCACACATTTGCATCCGAGACTTTTATGCTATTCTAATTATTGTTATCATACGTACTATTCTTGCTTCAACATGTGAAGGCCCTACCAAAAGCCAAGGGAAAAAGCCAAAAAAAAAATGTACTGCTAGAATATAATAATTCTTTCAATGGAGACTAGGAAATTTCGTTTTGGAAAAAGTGAAATGAAAGATAAGTAATGGATTCAGAGCTTTGGAACTCATAGCTGTTGAATGTCGCTCATCTCTGGCTGCAAAAAGTAGTCCAACTATTCAACCAAAGCACTTCACCTTCATCTGTTAAAGAGTTTCCCTTGAAGATGGCTGAAGCTGCGCTCAGTTGTGTTAGTGTAATCTTGAATAAGATACTTCCACTTGCTGCCGACGAGATCAGCCGGGCATGGGGTGTAAAGAAAGACCTTCAGAAGCTCTCCAAGAAAGTAGAGATGATGGAAGCTTTGATTTCTGATGCTAAATGCAAGCAATCAACAAGCAAAGCCGTGCAGCTCTGGCTCAAAAGGCTCCAGTCCATAGCTCGTCATGCTGAGATCGTATTGGATGACTTCGGATATGAAGTTCTGCGGCAGAAGGTTAAGAATCGGAAGCGCGACAAGGTACGCAGCTTCTTTTCTTCCTCAAATCCTATTTCCTTTCGTCTAGAGATAGCTAACAAGATCAAGAATGTTAGCGCATCTCTAGAGGAAGCTTACAGAGAAGCAAATCAAATAGGGCTTCATCCAGTTCAGCTAACCATGGCATCTGCTGATCACAAAGTGGATCGGTTGACTGTTCCTTTTATGGACGAGTCAGAAATGGTGGGAAGGGAAGTTGAGGTATCTCTAGTTGTAAGCATGCTAATTAGCTCACACTATAAGAAGGATTTACCTGTCATCTCAATAGTTGGGATGGGTGGCCAGGGTAAAACAACCCTTGCACAGTTGGTGCTAAAAAATGACAGTGTAGCGAAGCATTTTGATAAAAAAATATGGGTTTGTGTGTCTGACGATTTCAGAGTGGAAAGGCTGTTGAATGAGATGCTACAATCCCTCGAGGGAAAAAGTGCTGAGACGACAAACAAGGAAGCATTGGTGAGGAAGCTTCAAGAGAATTTGAAAGGAAAAAGTTACTTGCTTGTGCTTGATGATAATTGGAATGACAATCGAGAGAAATGGGATGGCATGAGGAGCTGTTTGTTGGCAATAGGGGGTGCTCCAGGAAGCAAAATATTGGCTACCACACGTAGTGATGAGGTAGCCTCAGCAATGCAAACATCTGGTTTGCATCATCTAGACATCCTCTCAGATGATCATAGCTGGATGTTGTTTGAAAAACTAGCTTTTGCAGACGGTGGTGCAACAAAGACTCAAGATCTGGTGGACATTGGCAGAAGGATACTGAAGAAGTGCGGCGGCGTGCCATTAGCGATCAAAGTGATTGGGGGTTTGTTGTATTCCAAAAAGAATGTATCGGAATGGTTGACGATCGAGAAGAGTGAAATATGGAACGAGTCGACCAATATTGCGAATGGAGTCATTTCTGTCCTGAAGCTGAGTTACGAGAACTTACCTTCATGGTCAGTGAAACAATGCTTTGCAAGTTGTTCCATCTTCCCGAAGGACACTGCCATGGAAAAAGAAAGCTTGATACAGATTTGGATGGCTCAGGGATTGATTAATGATGCTAAGGGAGGAGGTCATTTGCAAATGGAGGATATAGGCAGTGACTATTTCAACATATTGCTTCGGAGTTCTTTGTTGCAAGCGACTTCTGAGAATTCCATTAACGGAATCGTGTCCTGCCGGATGCATGACCTTGTGCATGATCTTTCATTGCAAGTGTCAAATAATTGTTTCTTAAACACAGAGGATGGCATGAAAGTCAGTCATGATGATAACGTTATGCATTTGACCATCATTCGGAATCGAGGGAAGGTGTTAAAGAATATCGAAGGGATTCCTCCAAATTTACAAATGCTTTATTACCTTGGGGGTGATGGTATTATGCTTGAAGACATCTTGGAAAGGTCTAGATACCTTTGTGGATTAAAAGTAGACTGCTGGGATGTTACTCAGCTCCCGAATTCAGTGGGTAATATGAAACATTTAAGACATCTTGATATCAGTGAAACTGGTATCACCGCTCTGCCAGATTCGATCACAAAGCTCTACAATTTGATGACCTTGAAAGTAAGTTACTTGAAAGAGATACCTAAGAAGTTTGGCAATTTAATTAACTTGAGGCATCTCGAGTTTGTCAACCTTCCTTGGGATGTGCCCAGATGTTTGTTCCCTGGGATTGGGCAGGTGGCTAATCTTCGGACATTGCCCCACTTCAAGGTAAGCCAAGACAAGAGATGTCAACTTGAGGAGTTGGAACACTTGCGTAACCTCGGAGGCGAGTTAGAAATATGTGGACTTGAGAATGTGAGCGGCTTTGAATCAGCAGCAAAAGCAAAGTTGTCCGAAAAATCAAGAATTCGAGGTTTAAGACTTTCATGGGGCGATACAAATGAAGATTGTGACGACAACAATATCAACAGTGTCATGGAAGGTCTTCAACCTCACCCAGACTTGAAAGGTTTAACCATTAGTGGTTTCGAAGGTTCAAGGTTGCCGTCGTGGATGGTGGCAAAGGATCACTTGATGGTACTCCTAAGGAATTTGGTACACCTCAGGTTGAAGGCATTGGGTAAGTGTGAACGAGTACCACCACTAGGGGACTTGCCTTGTCTCGAGTCCTTATGGATATACTCCTTAGACAATGTGAAGCGCATTGGGGCTGAATTCTATGGTCTCGATATTAATGCAAGGAGCAGCACTTGTAGTAGTAGCAGTAGTAGAGAGGTGAAAGCAGTCACTCTGTTTCCGAAACTGTCGCGTTTTGAGTTGTGGGGCATGGGAAGTCTAGAGGAGTGGTCAGATGCAATAGTTCCCTCGGATTCTTCTTCATCAATTAAGGTATTCCCTAATCTCCGGTACTTGACAATCTATGAGCTCCCCAAGTTGGTTGTTTTACCAGATATGGAGAACTTGACATCTCTTGTGGAGTTGAGCATACGGAGATGCGGAAGTTTGGCTTGTATAAGGAATTTGAATAGCCTTACATCTCTGGAATCCTTATCCTTAGAAGAATGCCCTGCTTTATTAGATGCTTCTCTAGATATGAAAAACCCCCAATCTCTAAGTGAATTAATCATCTCAGGATGTGATGAGCTGAATCCTTCACTGAGTAATAATCTTGAGAAGTTCACATCGCTCGAGGAGTTCAGGATCCGTTCTCGTGACCCTAGTTGTTGGGCAAAGGGTCTACACCATCTAGCCAACCTCCGCGAGTTGGAACTTGGTGGCTTCTCTGACGACCTTGATCATTTCCCGTGGTCACACTCCATCACCAATCTCGTCTCTCTGGAGCGTCTTCGATTGCGTGGATGGCCAAAAATCACGTCTCTCCCAGACCAAATTCAGCATCTCTCTACCTTGACATTTCTAGATATACGGCAGTTTGAGGGGTTGGAAGTTGTTCCAGAGTGGATGGGTAGCCTTCGGAATCTTCGAGAATTGTGGATTTATTTTTGCTCTAACCTCAGACAATTGCCCTCCGCAGAAGCAATACGAGCCCTCACCAATTTAAATCAACTACGGATCTTTTGGTGTCCTCTTTTAGCGGAGAGATGCACCAAAGGAAGTGGCGCAGAGTGGCCCAAGATTGCACACATTTCCGAAGTTGTTATCATTTGACCGAACTTTGACTGGTTTCGAATTAGGGAATCACTGTAAGTAGTTAATATTTCCAATGTTCTGTTTTAATCTACTTATTCGGTTCGTTTAGAATTCTATTATTACTTTTTTTTAAAAAATAATCCCCGGAACGAACAAGGAAATAAAAAAACGCTACTGCTTCCTTAAATTGCCTTATCAATGTCAAATCCTGACTCTTCCTTCAATTGCTCTTTACATTTTCTTTTCTGTAGATTCTTTCCTCCTTCTTATCATTCATTCTTTTTTTTTTTTTTTCCAAAGGGTCAGAACCAGAAAAGTTAAAAGACAGATTAAAGTATTGATAGACTTTTTCCTTTTTTAAATAAAAAGATTCATTACAATGTCTAAAAGATTCCTATTTCTTGAGCTCATGTTTGTTATGCTGCAGGGACAAGAACCAAGAACGACCAAAGTATTTCCATGACCTGAGACCACATTCAAATGTTTGGGGGATTTTGATGAATCCTGTACTCTAACTAACTATATAAAGGGATTGTTTGTTGACCACAGTACCTCATAGTGTACATCTTGATTGCTGTTTACATGTTTCTCTCTATTGTAAAGTGAAACTTAATTTTCATTAAGATTCAGTGCTTAGTCCTTGAGTTGGCAAGTATAATAATGTAATCAATGGGATTGAAAAACTTATGACCTAGTACTAATAGGGTGCAGAATTTCTGGATAGACTCTTCTGTCTAACTGCAAACCATTAGCCTTCACTACTTATATATATATATATATATATATATATATATATATATATAATGAACTTAGATTGAACAATTACTATAGCAGACATGGCTTTACCCAAACAAATTTCATTCGTGGAATTGCACTAGTGTGGAATTTTCAGCTACTCCTGTATTCTATCTAAAGTTCCTGTAGCCGCAGTGTGATGATATTTGGTCAAAAAGTTATTCTTTAGTATCCATATTAGTCTTTAAATTTCCAATTTTTTTTACCTCTCAAAAGGATACCCAATCAGGTGATCACCTTGCCAATCTGTCTCTTAGCCCAACTCATAAGGTGCTATGGTTAAGGTGATGTGGGCATATTGTACTTTTTGATCGACCAAAAAATATTCGTATATATTTTTCTTTCATACCTCATAAAAATTAGCCCATATCTTTAAAAAAAAATAAAAAAAAATTAGCCCATAGAGGCAAATAAAGTTGGTTGAACCAAGGTTTGATGTGGGCTTATCATACTTTTATAACCAACAAAAAATACTTTGCCAAATTAGTTTTATTTTTTTTTTCTTTTACACAAATACCGGCACGTATGGAAGAAAAGTATGAAGACAGATTTGTCATTTATAGGCTGCAAGGATAACTTGTTTCTTCTTGAAACTGATGCAGCAAACTCTAATTAAACGCTAGGGAAGAAAAGTAGGAAAGTGGTGCGACATATTTCTTGAAAGAAATTAGCTTATCAAATAAATATGAATGGCAGCCAAAGTAGCAAAGGAGTATGTTCAGTTCTAATTAAGGTTGTGCAACTAATCATGCAGTAGTATTTTATTTTTCTGAAAAAGACTTATCATATTTATTATTCAAAGCAAAAGGATTGCAGATATTCGATTATGTCACATGTTGCCTTCAAATTATTAAACTTATACCTCAGTATACCAATGTTAAAATTTTAATCAAATTATATCTGTCTTAACTCTGAGGACCCGGCCAACATCAAAAAGAAAGGAAAGGATTGGATACATACATGACTCTAGACCCATGGGTTATTTAGCAATTTGGTTTAATTGTTTTGAACCCGTGATTTCAGTTTAAAAGCTCGTGGATCCAATACAAATGGCATCAAAACAGATTTTGCGTGGGTTGAGTCTAGGCCAATATATTATTTCTAGGTCCATGGACTACTTAATAACTTGAGTTAATCATTTTGAATCCATAGTTTTAGCTCAAAAGTTCTTTGGCCAGAATTTAAATTAATTATTTTGAAATTGTGGTTTCAACTCAAAAGTTTCTTGGGTTAGCTCTTGAGGCTAGGGCGTTACAGTACGCTTACTATTTTTTAGGCCTAGCATGATTTTTCTCACTAAATTCCTGATGCATAGCGTTGAATTTAGATATGCCTAACTTTTGTAGATTGACAGTTAAGTTTTCATTGGGAAACACCATTAAAAAAAAAATATCATTTCCAAACGTTTCTAAGGCTGGGGCGAGGTATTTTCTTTTCCATTACCTTGGCTTTTTGGTGACTCCTAAAGCTTGTTTTTCCGATGTTCACTTCAATGGGATCTTTACCTTTCAAGAAATGATTTTTTTTTATTATGCTCTTATTTTGCATGATGGCACTTTGTCATTCCCCACATCCATTACCTGTTTTCATGAACTTGACCGATTTGCATCTTGGATTCCGTGAGCAATCGTTTGGTGCTCGTGCTTACCAAATCTATTGGTGGAAGGTGTTGCCAAGATTGCTTGACAATGCCCCAAATCTTGAGGTTCTTTTCTTAGATAATGTGAGTTGTAATGAATCTCCGTATTATACTACTCATCATAGTAGTCTTTTCTGGTACTTAGGTTATTTTTAAAATGAATAGGTGTTTTGGAACAACTTCGAACAAGACAAGGAGTTTCAGAGTCTTCCGCCAGTAGCTTTTCCAGTATCCTGCATTGAACGTCTCAAGGAAATGGAGATCAAATCATTGTAATGCTTCAACACAATGGCCCTTTGGTTGAGTACCTTCTGCAGAAAGGAAAATCTTTAAGAAAGATGACTCTCGGAGCATTGCTGCTGGCTTCAGATCCCAACAGAATATCAGTCAATAAATGCTCGGAGAACTGTCAGATTGTGTCCCAACAAGAGTATCGTTGGCCTGGACCTGATTTTGAATAATTCAAATAGCAATGATGATCTCTTCGAATTAGGATTTTGTTTGCATGTCCTTTTTTAAAAAAAAAAATCTGGTGCTTGTACTATGATTCATGCTTACTTGGGTATGCTGCGATCTTGTCTGGTTGAACTGCATTTTTCAAGAAACGATTCTTGACTTGTTGCTGTAATTCTAGACTCTTTCTTGGCAAACAATTGCTTAGTTATTCATCAGTCTCGTAAGCAAGTCCTGAAGAAGATATGTGGATGATGCAATTAGGATTGCCAAGTGCAGATCACCATTGTAATCATTCAGTTTACGTGCTCTTTCAAGGAGAACTCAACTGAATTCCTATTTTTGGAGCACAAACTGTAGTCATAGCCTCATATCTTCATACAATTGGTCCAAAATCCAAATACAGCATGTAAACTGTTTGATACAGCACCCACGTCTACAAATGAGTATTGTTCATCAATGAGTCCTTCAACTTTTGTGGGGTATTTTCCATTATGTAATATAAGCCACAGAAAATTCTCATTATTTGTAGCAGCATCTCCCTGATGTGCCCTTCTCCTGCAATTTTTCTGATGATTGCTGGGGATTCCACTCCCATCCAACAGACATCCTTTCACTGATGATCGAGGTAACACAGAAAGGACCAAACCATGCTGTAGTTTAGACCCAAAATACAAAGAGTACCAATTAGACTAGGCCAAAGGAGAAACAAACGAGGAAAAGCAAATAAAACAATAATAATAAATAAATTATAAGTATGTGATACTTTTTGGGCTCCTAAAATCGAAATCATGAGGTGGTCAGGTGATGTTTTAAGATTAAAAATAGTTTAGACTGATAGAGCAGTTATTTGGCACATTTTGCACTGTTATTTTGTCCTAATTTTGGCTATTCATGGTGCTAAGAATTGAAATTTCACACATATTTGATATTTGTGTGAATTGTAGGTGGTCGTCATTAAAAATGATCTCTTGAGGCAAATTTCCAGAAGACCCTTCATCTCAGGACGTGATCACGCCAGAAAAGGTAAATGTTGTCGAAAAGCCAGATCCGCGGGACCAATAGCAGGAGACCCAATTAAGAAACCCGGTCTACGTGGACCAGATGCGCGAGATCAGAGCCCTTGGCACAAAAGCCTCTTCTTGGGATGAATACTACTGGCGGCGGCTATAAAAGAATGGAAAAGCCAGATTCACGGGAATCACTATATTAGTTTTTAGTTTTCCACTTTTCACGTCTGTCAGACGTTTTCCTTTCTCTGATCGGCAGCAATTGGGAGTGACAGGGGCCGAACCTGTGCAATAATAAAGTTAAACCTATTTGCCAGTTAAAATGACCAAAATCCAATTCCAAGTACTGGAGCAGGGACTCTAGGTGTGCAATGGGTTACTTGATTCACCCTGTTCCCGAAGAGTTTGCTTGATCCGATATACCCGAATGGAATAGCTATTCCTTTTCACAAATGATTAGGAATTTGTAGACAGGGCAAGTAGGGTCGTATCCACAGAAACTGGGTATATTTGTTTCTTAAGAAATCCAAAGTAACACAGGGGGTGATTTTGTAGGAACGACGATGATTAAATAAATTCAAATGAGAAAATAAAAATAAACAACTAACTAGAAACTAAACCACAATTTACTGAACTCAGGATAACAATAATTAAAGGGCTAAATCAATTAAAACAAGGAAACATTCAAAAATAAAATAAAGTAGGCAAGTAAAAGTCAAATGGCACTTCACTAAAACCAAGATAATGTTAATTAAAGATCTAGCCAAGAAGTAACTTCAGCAATGGTTCACCTAATTGATCACTGATGCAAAGGCAATCCCAATTATTTACCAATAAATAAGTTATAACTACCAAACAAGCGATGGCAGTCAACCCCTCCTTACTGTGTCGGTGATCAAGGTACGCCCGTAGAATTTAATTCCCCAACTGCCTTACGTATTAGAGGAGCCCTATTCTAACCAAATAACGCACTACCAGGGTTATTTTAGATTAGCCCGCGTACCCCCCTGACACGAATCTAATCGTGCCAGTTGTCACTATTTTGAGGTAATTAGACAATTACAGATTTAATACCCCAATTGACAATAGACTACCCAATCAATTAATTATCCGGATCCAAGACAACCAATTAATTAAATAATCATAAGCATAGAAATCAGGGAAGATGCGAATACCAATAGATAAAAGGAAAAGATTAAATTAAATCGATCTCACAAATTTTTTAGGCGAACCAGAGCCTTCGTTGCTCCTTGGCTAGAAAGGAGGAATTTAGCTCATATTTGATGCGTAAACCTCAGACAAAATTGCAAAGAAAATCGCGGTCATCGTCCGTCTAAATTTTGACAATCCAATTCGTCCGAATACTGAATAAATAGAAAAGCTACAGAAGGCCATTCATGGCTTCCATTCCGTTCCACGCACGAAGGAAAAGAAGAGAACTACTAAGAGTAACTAAAGAAGAAGAAAAAGTCAAAGCCAAGGATGGCTAAGCTACAAGACATTCGTAAGTTTCTTCCCCAAAGAAAATCAATCCAAAAGAGAAGTCAACAAAAACGGCTAAGCTACAGATCAAGACCCCAGCAAAAGCCAGCTCCCTTTGTGATCCCTTTTTCTCCCTTCTTATTGCGGCGGCTCACCAGGAGGGAGAAGCCCTCCGTCCGTCGTTTCTTGCGGAAATTACCAAAATGGGCATCATCTCCTCTTTGCCAAAAATATCCCTGGAATAAGCTCTGTGGCTTGGACATCTTTTCTGTCAAACTT